CGCTTTAGAAATAGATATTTCATTGTTGTTCTGTACGATATCTCTAAGTATTTTGTTTCTATTCTCAACATTCTGAAATACGACGACAAACATATCGAGGAATGTCGTCCCCCTTTTCTCATAACATTGACATAATTTTAGCGGTGTATTGTAATATCATTCATAGGAATTCGCTTCAAAACGAGTTTACATGTAGAAATAATATTAAGGAGTGTTGGAATGCAAAAAGTCTTCTATTATCGTGTACCCCGCGTTTTGATACATTACGAACAAGCGAAAGCTCGCTGGTCCATTTGTCACTTGGCGAACATTAATCGTCACCACAATAGTGATTTTGTCGACAGGCGAGTATGCTGTTTACGTTCTTCTCCCATGAAATTTCTACAACGGTGATACTATTTATATAACGTTCCTTCTAATTTTAGTACTCACATATTTATGTGTATCACATACATATTCACGCACACCCATACGTGCAGCGTAACAAGTTAAACAAGATTGTGTGGAGGAAAAAAACATTATTTCTTCACGTTATGCTCAGGCGAAGTAAAAAAAAATCAAAGGGTACTGCGAGACATTTGGACAAGCAACTGATGCTTTTGCGAAAATAATGAAAATACATGACCGCAATGAGATACATGATGTGATTCCATTTCGACGCTCCATATAGATGTTTCTAATAACATGAAACTACTGTCAAAATTCTCTATTGATATCAAAATTATATAATAATCGTCGTAAAAATCAGCACAGAGGAAAAAGATACATCCGCGAAAGGATATGTTGAGTTGGTATCACATTTTATAAAAAGGTTCTTCGATCCGTATTCTACCTTATCAGTTAATTTAAAAAAATCTTAATTTAAAAAAATCTTTTTAGAAGAGAACACATACCTTTGGAATACGCCACTATCGTTCGTTCGTTCGTTCGATTTACGCTTTCTCGGCATACACTCTCGGAGTAAAGACGGGGTGGTTTCGCGGCTCAGATGCAAAACCGCACGATTGTACGGTTTGCCGGTTATCCGTTGGGGTGGATGCGAACCAAGTGCGTCAGGAGGCTGAGTGTTCACGCTACTCATTCAGCAACCCCTACCTTCTACTACAAATTCTCGTAATACCCCACTCTCTTTAGCGACAGCCAATCAAAAATCTCGGAACAGGCTGTATGATCCGGTTATTCACAATTTCTTTTATTTTTTTCTTTCTTTACTTACTCTATTTCTCATTGTCGTCATTGCTATTATCATTTTGTTATTTTATTTTTTTTTATTTTGAATGGATTTCTCTAACAATTCAAGTGAAAATTACTTTGGAAATACAAGTCAGAAAGTATTTAATATGTAGTAATTATATTGCTTTACGTAAAATATCGTCAGTATTTTTAAATATTGTTTCAAGAAACGTAAAGGAACAACTTGGAATTATCAGATGCAATTTATAATTCCAATATTTCTTTAGAGAGAGAGCCTTGTATGATTAAATTGAAGGCAAAATTTATTAATTTATTTAAAGAAAGTAATGAATGGATATATATTACAGCCTTTTGTTTAGGTGTTACTATTTATACACGGAGAGAATTATCTTTTAAAATTCACCCTGAAAATATGGTAATTGTGATACAATGTATTTTAAAGATTTTTACCATGCACTTCAGTAAAATTAATCAAACTTACTTTATATTTTATTTTAGTTTTATTAATGAATGCGAAAAATTTACATTAAATTCTTCGAAATACAATATTGTCCCAGAAATACCATATTTTCGAGATAAATTCTAAGAAAAAATTCTCTCTCCTATATTTGACGTAGAAAATTAATTTATAATAAAAAATTTATTATATTTATTATATTAAATTTAGGAATTTTCTATGTTTGCGTGCGTCTGTGAAAGCAGTTGTGAGTATATCTATTTATCAGTACACATCTTAGCACATATTTACTTCTTGGCTAAATTTGTGACAGTAATGCCAAGTATAAATGTTTAGTGGGCGTCATCTATTGCGATTCCTTCAGATAACGGCGATTATTAAAATATTTCGGACTCGATGAAAGGCAATCAAACGAGCATCCAAAGAATGTTGTAAAATGACGTTACTTATATTCGTTTGTCAACTTATATGTTTAGTCTTCGACGTCCGTAATGTACAATGAAATATAAGCGCGCGAAAGATCAATGAATTATACACAAAGTGTAGGTACGCATGGAAATTTATTGGAATTTCTGTAGTCGCGACGAGCCGATTCGTGGGATTCCGCAGAAAGATTTGTCATATAACATAAAATATACTCCCTCGTCGTGTAATCATGAAAGCGATTGAGGCCTCTAATTTGTTAACATTCCAGAACATTGGCGAACGTTGCAGATAAAAATTAGCATAAGGGACCTTGTTCATTTTGGATTTCTTATGCATAATAATAGATCTCATATTGATAAAAGAATAATAGAACTAACTATTAAGCATCTAATATTTAAATTTGAGAAAGAAGTCTATTAGAATCATCAAATCGATTTGTTAAGATCACATCGCTGTTTTTTAAGTGAGATGATTTTTTTTATATAATATGTTCCTTTAATTTTTCTGTACATAATAACATTAAAATTATTAAAAATCAATAGTTTATCAATATTTTATTCTGGAACGTTTTAAAATAAAATAAAAAATATTTCGTAAATTAATCTTTTTATTACTTAACTTTTTTGTTACACAGAACACAGAATAAGATATACATAAAATAGTAAGATCAATTGCAAAGAAACCACTAATTGCTTTTCAAAAATGATATATAATTGCAAATTCAATAATTTTAAAACAACTATTTTCTTTAAATTAATTGATTCATTTTATTATTTTGTGCATAAAAATATTAGGATACAATTACAAAAAAAAATAACAGTTTATGAGATACATATAATACAATATTTTAAACTTCGTGTCAAAGTATGTCAATTTGTTCAATATTCCAAAAAGTATATTTTTTGAATAGGCAACTTAAAGGATTGTGACTTGTGACTATGAAATATTTTGATCTTTTAACAATAATCTTTCATTTTAATTAAGTTAGGTTGCTATTTGCAAGCAGTTCAGTACTACATAAAAACGGGCAATATTTTTTTCTTCATCAATAAGATCTTAGCTTTTTTCTCTCTTTTGTTTAAGATTTACATTATATTTTGCTAACGAAAGATGAAGAAAAACGAGAAAGTGCCTTGCTACGATTAGATTCACAGTAGAAAGAGGAGAAAAAGAGAATCTAGCTAGGAGTATATCTCGCGAAACTGAGCGGACGCAACAAGTAGTTTGAACAAACGAATAAGTAAACGCAACGCCAGATTAAAGACTCGTCCAATCGCGTGCGCGTGCATATGTAATATACGAGATGGAATTCAGGATATGATGAATATAGAACGGATATATGATTCGTAATTGCTTGAGGTACTCGCAGGGTTCGAGATTAATCGTTAATCCGCAGTGCAACCTCGCAATACGTTGATCAAACATACACAACTGATCTGAATTCTCTCGATTGTGATCACTTTAACTTGAATGAATTCTATTTTTAGATATCCAAACATTTTCATTTTTGGTCACACATGCATCTTTTAATATTTTAATTTTGATATCACAGCTTATAATATGAAAATCAATTCTTTCTCAGATACTAATTTCAAAAAGACATCAACTTATAGACATTGCAACAACGCATTCCCCTTGATATGAAATTATAAAAGTAAAAAAATATTAAATAATGTCGAAATAACATAGGTATCAAATATTTTAATATAATAATATCAATAAATATCAAGAAAAATGAATTCTATATTTTTTTTATAATTTAACATGAATTATATATATATAT